GAAATTTCAAGGAGTTCGGAACTCTTATTGATCTAGAGTGTACCTCACTATTGTATTCAACTTTGTGCTTTGTATCATTGTAGATTGTTTTCATTCTCAAACAGCGATATTACTGTACATACTAAACAAAGCGTAAAGTGCAAAAATCACAATATGACCCATTTAAAAACGCCACATTGTGACTACAGATGTTCTTAAATATCTACTCTCATCCCAAAGCACTTAAAAAAATTCACTTTCATGTGATTACTCATGACACCAGCTTTTTGTGATGATATGATTCACATTTCCACTGAAATCAGCCGGCGTGTGCTGTGAGTGAAGCGGCATGCTCCATTTCGCAAAGATAATTGGTTGTTTTTCAGATGCTTCAGGGTTGACATTACGGAGTTTGTTTATCTGGAATGATGCATCAATTCTCAGCGGTGTTGAAAGCATGCTATGTTTATTATTGTTGGTTTGTTTATTTATTTAATTTTTAAAACATGCACATCTGTTCTACGGAAAGTGCCTTCAGCTCTCCTCCGCCGCAGGGCATCGTCAATGTTTAGTTTGTGACCTTCGGTAATGAGGCAGGTGACAGGATTAGATAGTATCACCAACCACTGCACAGCGGTGCTAAGAGACCCGGACTATTGTCAATCTCTCTCCCATCAGCAATAGAGGCCATGTAAGCCGTCGTAGACAAGCTTCTTATCAGCACGTTGGGGTTCAAGTAGAGCTCATTTCATGGATATGTGACACTCCAGTTCAGTTCCACACCCTCAAACCCCTCCTTTCTTTCTCTATTCTCTGCAAGCCAGTCAGGCTTGACTCGGTCAGCTAGTTAGCGGCTGCAGCTTGATCATACGCTATATGTGATTGGCGGCTGACTCCCTTCGGAGCTGCTTTGTGACAATGCTAATCGGACAACGCTCAGCACCTCTTAGTGCCAATGAAATCTTCAGGCCGACTCGATTCATCCTCATTTGATGGCATTTGCTAAAGGCCATCGGCTGGCACCTAATTGGCTGCTTGCACATTCCCTCCCCCCTCTGATCAGCTCATACTAATATCTCTGAGTAGAGGGGACGAAAGGAGAGGAAAGGTGACGGATTGATTGGGCAGCTGTGTGATTTAATGGAGGAAGGGATTACTGTCTTGGCTGTCATCTTCCATCACTCCTCCTCCTCCTTCTCTAATTCTTGCTTTCACGATGCGATTCGTAGGCACAGTGCCGATGTGAGGTGACTGTGCTTAATGGGCCACGTAATCCAGCATTGAAGTGCTTCACCAACATTATGTGTATGAGCTTTCATATGTGACCTGTAACTAACATTATAGGGGCTCGAATGCTGACTCAAATGTTCCAGTTGAAAAGGAAAGAAAAAAAATTCTGTTGAATGTCAGATCTCATGTGAAAAAAACCAGTATGGTGTGTTTGGGATGCTGGTACAGTGATGGCAGCAGTATTTTCCTGGCCGGTCAAATAGTGTTGTGGTGTGTAGAACCTGGTGGTGTGAATCTGAGAAGGGTCTGGCTGCAGACCAGGAACACATGCAAGCTGAGCTGCATGCAATGCTTTTAATGTGTACACCTAACCCTTCCCATAACCCTGCCCCCCCACAGTGACATGACTAGCTCTATTCAGTCCATTTGTCTGTATCAGCTTGAAGCCAGATACTATTGGAAAAACTTTTCAAAAAAAACAACTTAATAGATTTTACTAAATTGTTGGTGCATTGCCTGATTTCTTAACATAATTACTCTGATTAAGTTAATAACTTGTTTATGGTTTCAATTATTTTGTTCTTAAAACATTTATGTAAAATGGCATAATGGCAATTAATTATTATTTTGTCAAAATGTCACCAAAATATATAGGAAATAATAATTATATATATATATATATATATATATATATATATATATGTGTGTGTGTGTGTGTGTGTGTGTGTGTGTGTGTGTGTGTGTGTGTGTGTGTGTGTGTGCGTGTGCGTGTGTGTGTGTGTGTGTATATATTTTAATGGCAAAATTCCATTTGCACTTGATCATAATTCTTTTTTAAATGTTAAATGCATAAAAGAGTTGGCAGGAATAAGGCCAGAGAGAGTTGCGACCTACAAAGATGTATTCCCAGTGCTTTTATGGGACTATGATCATCGCTGCGATGCTACTCCACCATCTGAACCAGAAACAAACCAGTATGAAACAGCTTGGAAATTCATGCTAGTCTGAGCTGGTCTTTTCAGCAGGTTGTCTTTGTGTGTGAGAGAGTGAAAAATCTGTGCTTTACTCTTCCTTCAACCTTTTCTTCTGCACCAAGGTCACTCAGCTCCAGGGTTTGGCACCACTCGGGTACAGCGGTGCCCAGCTAAAGATATGCATAACTGCCTGCTGCTGTCAAACATCCTGTACCCCAAGCCAGTGAAAATATCCACCTTACGCTACTTATTTTGTTTCATCCCCATTGTCTGTCTGAAGTTTTATCGCGAGTCCTCGAGGGAGCTTCCTTTTTTACAGTAGTGCGATCAAGGCAAGTGAATGAAAAAGAGAGTTGTTTGATCCAGTGATAGTGCTGATAAATGGAGGCACACACGCAGGTCTTTGTGTCATTTGACAGATGGAGACCTGCTCCTGCAGTGGGTCTCATGAGCCTGCGGCGTGAGCGATAGATGCTCTAATATTCGCTTATCTTTTCTGCTCCTCAAAAAGATCCAGGCGTTATTTTAAATGAATCTTTTTTGCTTACACTGGCCTCTGCTCGCCATTGATTATTAACGCATGTGGCCATTAAGATATTCTCAGATCTTGTTAAAGTAATAAAGTGAGTAAATTGCTTTATGAGATGGCATGGCGGTGATTGTGATTAGGATGTTTTGCCATGCGATTGCTCTTATGGTCCCTTCATCAGTGCATAGGGTGTCTTGTATCTATATCAGGGGAAATGTATTATACCGAGTTTGGTGTTGAGTGTTTAAGTTGCAAGTGTACGCATTAAATATTAAATATCAGCCTTGATATTTATATATGTATGTATAATATTATATATAAATAAATGTAATAATGGGCAACACGTGGCGCAGTACAGCAAGAAGGTCGCTGGATCGAGCCCCAGCTGGGTCAGTTAACGTTTCTGTGTGGAGTTTGCATGTTCTCACCACGTTCGCTTGGGTTTCCTCGGGGTGCTTCGGTTTCCCTCACAGTCCAAAGACATGCGGTACAGGTGAATTGGGTAAGCCAAATTGTCTGTAGTGTATGTGTGTGTATGGATGTTTTTTCAGAGATGGTTTGCAGCTGGAAGGGCATCCGCCGTGTAAAACATTTGCTAGATAAGTAAGCGGTTCATTCCGCTGTGGCAGCCCCAGATTGATAAAGGGGCAAAGCCGAAAAGAAAATGAATGAATGAAATGTAATAATGCAAAGTTAATTTAGTAGTAAGTGTTAAAGTATAGGTAAATAATAATTATAAATATAATTTCAGATTTAATACAGAAAAATATATGCAGAAATATAGATAAATATTCATTTATCAAATTACAGGGGGGTTTTGGGGGGAGGGAATGACTTCCCTAATTAACGCTTGATCCAAACTTCACATCAAAACAAAATTTATGCGGAGTCAGCCCTTTAATAGTAAGAAATATCTTTCTCTGATCTTTGATTTATATCCCAAATAATATTAATGAAAAATGTGCAACATAAATTTACATTTGACCCCCCCAACAACCCCCCCCCCCTTTCCATAAGGGTTCATACCATTGTGAATGCATAATTGTACAATTCAATGCGAAGAAAAATATGATTCAACAGTCTGAAACTGGCAGTTCTGGAGCAAGTATTCACAAAACATGTTTCTTGTAAAGTAGGTGTTTACTTCTGCATGTAGCCTAAAAAAAATAAAAATTAAACACATAATTGTAATGTATACATTTTATTAATAAATAAGATGGAATTTAAATACATTCTTCAATTTGATTGACTACAGCATGTATTACCAAAATACTACCGAAAAAGTTGACCCCCTGATCATCAATGTATAAATCACACCCTGTAAATATTACATGAATTCTGATATTGGTTTTAGTATTTATTACTGTGTAATAATATTAATAACAACAATAATAATAATGATAATAATAATAAGTAGTATACGTTTTATTACATAAAAATAGTAATAATAGTAGTGGTAGTAGTAGTAGTAGTAAGTTGTTATATATATATATATATATATATATATATATATATATATATATATATATATATATATATATCATCAATATTAACTTGAGATTAGAATAATTTTACATTATGGAGAATATTGTTATATTATCATTAATAAATATTATTACAAATACATTATAAATAAATGTTAAATACTGTTAATATTAAATAATAGTAATGACGAATATAACAAGCAGTAATTCTAAATTAAGTATTACATATAATCAAAATAACATATTTATAAACATTAATTAAAACTGCTGATAATGCTATTATTAGTAGTAATAGTAGCAGTAGTCATGCTGTATTATGTTATTTAACAATATATATTGTAATATTTAATAATATATTTATTATATAATATTTAAATAATATACAGTAACCTATAAGAAATATAACATATAAAAATGAGTATTGTGAAATATTTAATCTACTATTAATTATAAATAGCATATTGCATGACATGGATTTGATAATAGTCATTAATAATCATCATCATGGCTAATACCATCCCTTTACCATCCCTTTACCATTTTACCAGAACAAAATGTATTTCTTTTATGCTGGACTAAGAAGGTGAAAACACATTATGCACCTCTGTTACTCACTGTGTACTGAACTCCACCCCTCTTTGCCTTTTGTTTATAATGTTTCAGGCTCTCTGTCCTGGGCCATGAGGAGGTCTAAATGCTTCTCTCTTTCTCTCCCTCTCCCTCTCCCTCTCTCTCTCTCTCTCTCTCTCTCTCTCTCTCTCTCTCTCTCTCTCTCTCTCTCTCTCTCTCTCTCTCCTCATGCAGTGATCTTTTGCATCAGGAGGGTGTGGACCTGAGAGAAACACACAGGAGGAAGACACAGTGCTCTTCTCTGAGTGGAATAATCCACGGCTTTCCTGCACCGCTGTGTTTGTGTCTGTCAGCAGGTGCAATGCCTGCCACGTCACAAAAACAGCAGGTGAGCAGCAGGGGGCGATGCACGGCTCTCCTGCTTCCTCTCCTTCTGCTAGCAGTGGCTCTAAAACCCGGGAACACCACCATCAACATCCCATCCAGATGTGAGTACACTGCATTACATATGAACATCAAGAGTCTGTTTGCATTGATTTCTACAGTACATGTTTGCTGTGGTTTGTTATTATGGCGCATGAGAGTTAAAAAGTGCCAAATGTGCAGTTTTAAGTGAGTTTAATTACTCAATTGATTACTCCATTGATCTGCAATGGCTAGTACAGGCCTGTTTGGAAAGGACACTCGGGCTGGTGTTGACTGAAACCCACCTGAGCAGGAACTGTAACAACAGCAGCCGCTACAAGCTTCCTAAAGCTATAAACAGCACTGCTATTATTGTACAGCTGCAGTTTAAGATTGCAGCCGGTGTAACAGAGCATCTCTCTTTCCCACTCATTTAAACACAGACACACACACACACACACACTCTCAAACAGAAGAGGAAAACGCCTAGATGATGAAAACTACAAAACTGAAATGCACCAGAATGAGATGTCAGCGCAGAGTTACACCTACATTAAAGGTCACTGCTTCTTTTGACTTTCAATTAGTGACCTTTAAATGAGAAAGGTGGACATGGATGTTATCATTGAGATCGATAACTGACCCACATTAAAATGTGGACAAACAAAATCTAGCCCATTTGCTCTGAACTAAAGCTCCATCCCTCTCTCTTTATTTCTGTGCTTGTGTTGCAGTTTTAGAGGATCGCTGCTTTTGTTTTGTTATTAAGTTGTTGGGACTGCAGTACCAAGCAATCTTGGAAAGATAGGCTGAAGTCAAAATAGCTAAATAGGGAGTTTATTTTAGCTCTGCTTTGCCAGCAGCTTGTTATCTCTCACTGGCCAGCTGATCTACAGTCCAGGTGTCTGAGCTGGCATCATTTCTTGTCTTTGTTTCACTTCCAAATAGTGTAATCATACTATCACAAACATTGGTTTTGTTTAAAAAAAGAGGGTTAGGGTTAAGGCTAATAGGGATGTGGGGTTTTGCTTTTACTTTGGGAAAAAATGTTCTGATGAGAATCATAAAAATCTTAATGTAACACTTTATTTGAAGGTGGTGTTTATAAAACAATGACACTTTTATAATCATGATTCATGACACATCACATGTCATAGGTTTAAATGAAATTTTATGCATGCTTTTGTGATTCACTTAATTGTCATTTTAAATCCAAAGATGACATTGCATGAGATATCTTTATGGCAACTTGGCATAAACAAATACATCATAACCCCCAGCCCCAGCCATATCACCCTGCAGCCCAAGACTCACTAAAGGTTAGCAGCGCTGAGCCTGGTCAGTACCTGGATGGGAGACCACATGGAAAAACTAGGTTGTTGCTGGAAATGGTGTTAGTGAGGCCAGCAGGGGGCACTCAATCTGCGGTCTGTGTGAGTCCTAAAGCCCTAATAAAGTGAAGAGGACACTATACTGTCAGTGAGCGCCGTCTTATGATGAGACAGTAAACCGAGGCCCTGACTCTCAGTGGTCATTAAAAATCCCATGGCACTTCTCGTAAAGTAGGTGTGTAACCCCAGTGTCCTGGCCAAATTCCCACCATCGGCCTTTATGATCATGGCCTCCCAATCATCCCCATTCACCGAATTAGCTTTATCACTGTCTCTCCACTCCCCCTATAGCTGGTGTGTGGTGAGCGCACTGGTGCCATTGTCCTTTGGCTGTCGTCGCATCATCCAAGTGGATGCTGCTTACTGGTGGTGGTGTGGAGAGACCCTCCTCATGATTGTGAAGCGCTTTGGGTGTATGACCATACACAATAAATATGCTATATAAATACACATTACTTACTACCTACTTACTAACTGTTAGTGTCTTTGTCATAACAAATTGACATTACCAAGACTACAAAGCTTGTCATAAATCTGTCATGAACATGATTGCGATGAGGCCATTGCAGTTGTGTCATGAATATTTCTGTGATCTGTTTTTTTTTTCAGTGGAACAAACTGAATTTGTCATTAAAATATCTTTTTGTCAACTTCTCAAATCATTTTACATTTATTATGTATGATTATGGTTATAGAACTATATTGAGTCTAAGAGAAATGTAATCATACTGTACAATTTTTGCGAATACAATTTTTCGAAAGAAATCTTTTTTAGAAACGTATTTTACCTATGATGAAAATCATCTTTCGTAAGCAGTTTGAACCGAACTGTGTGTAGGTATAGTTTATCCACAGTCATATTGGAGTGATATAAACACAACAAGTCTCTGTTTTAAATTTACTAATGTTAAAATAGGACCCAAAACCATTTGAATTTGAGGCCCATAGCAACATGACGTAGGAGTGCGGTTTCCCTGCCCCCCAAATTGATTGACTGGTGCCATGTCTCCATAATAGCATGTATAAACATGTCCACAGAACATTTTTTGCAAAAAAAAAAAAAAAACTGATTAAAACATATGGTACAACTCTCTGTAATTAGCTGTAACTCAATAATTAATTTATCGTTAAAATAACGTTTTTAAAACAGTGCATGTTTTTAATAAAGACGGTAAAATCATTATGTATTTCTTAACGACTATAATCACCACGGCCGCATGGTATCAGTAACCGCTAATATATGTGTATGTACTGCAAAATGCATTTATGTGTGACTTATCATTTCAGAAAGGCTTGAAGTGACTCCACCTCAAATACATCAAATAAACTTACTTATTTCAGCTTCATCTATGTCTGTCTCTATCACTGACGGCTGTTTATCTGACGAAAGACATGAGAAGCAGACATGCATGTCGGAGCAGTGGGCAGTTTATTTGGATTTAAAGGCACAGACAACAAAAACAGCTACGGACCCCAAAATGGGGAGATTCTACATTATATAATAAATAATCTGATGGGTATTTTGAGCTGAAACTTTCCAGACACATTCTGGAGACACCAAAGTCTTATCTTAAATCTTGTAAAAGAGGTAAAATAGGTGCTCTTTAAATAAATGAAAACAAAATAATAGAAACCAATAGTACCAACCAAGGCAACACTTAGTGATGAGCCTGCTTTTTCATGGCCAGAATTCTAAATTTTTGTTTTTGCAAAAACATTAAAACCTCTAATAAATACTTTTGAGGAAAATCCTCTATAAAAATACACATTCACAAATTGAATAAGTAATATTTTAATTAAAACCTAACAATGTCAAAAAGTGTCTGTAGGGCTTTGAGTTCATTGTAGGGTGTTGTAATTAACTTGTAATTAAGGAATGATAATCGTATATGTATAATCTGTGTATGTGTGTGCATGATTCTAAGTGTTCATGTGCATGTTTTCAGTGTGAATTGCTTTAAACTAAAGTATTTCTTTTTTCCCCCTGCTGACTCGATGAACAGACAAAATAAGAGACTGTAAGTATATCTGGCATGAATATTGGGGTTTGCATGTACTGACTTTATTGCACTAACATTTCCCAGACTTAATCTAATAACGGAAGACAGCCTGCAGCAACAGCCCGATCAACTGAGAAATTTGTTTGTTATATTCAGAAGTGTGGGAATAATTTAGAAAAATTGAAGGGTGCATTAAGGCATGAGTCTTTTAAAAATTAATGATCTTTTGTTAATGGGTGACTGGCGGCCAAACCTCCAGTCATACTGGTTAATGGTCCATAAGATGGTCCATCATCAGGGATTGCTGGATTTTTTCAAGTCTTTTTTAAATTTATGGTTTATTACATCCTTATTACTCTCAACTAGACCCTGAACCACCAGTGCTGTTAGATAGATTGATTAAACAAGATGCAAATGAATGAACAAAAGCAATAAATGAACAATCGATCAATCGATCAATTGATTAATCGAAGAAATGTCAGGCAAACATAATGAATGAATAAACGAACGATTGAATGAATGAATGAATAAATGTCAGGAAAAAAATGAATGAATGAATGAATGAATGAATGAATGAATGAATGAATGAATGACCGAATGAATGAATGATAAACATGAATTAATGCCAGGCAAACATAAATGAATGAATGAATGAATGAATGAATGAATGAATGAATGAATGAATGTCAGGCAAAAATAATAAATGAACGAACAGATGAATGAATGAATGAATGAATGAATGAATGAATGAATGAATGAATGAATGATAAACATGAATGAATGTCAGGTAAACATGAATGGGTGAATGAATGAGCAAATGAAATAATAATCGGCAGATATATAGAATGCAATTAATGGAATAGAATAACATAATGAATGAATGAATGAATGTCAAGCAAGAATGAATGAATGAATGACAACATAATGAAAAAATGAATGAATAAATTAATTAATTAATCAATAAATACATGAATGAATGAATGAATGAATGATAAAAATGAATGAATGTCAGGCAAACATGAATGGGTGAATGAATGAGCAAATGAAATAATAATCGGCAGATATATAGAATGCAATTAATGTAATAGAATAACATAATGAATGAATGAATGAATGAATGACAACATAATGAAAAAATGAATGATTAAATTAATTAATTAATCAATAAATACATGAATGAATGAATGAATGAATGAATGAATGAATGAATGAATGAATGGATCATATACAAACAATAGATTAATGAATAAATAAAATAAATAATTACAGACAGAAAATTTCTAGAATGACAGGATGAGTTAATGAATGTACAACAGACACTTAAAAAGAAAAAAGAATAATAAGAAGATGGAAAAGAATGATGGATGGTTGGATGGATGGAATACAGACTTACTTGAAGAGTTAATGAATGACAGACAAAGAAAGACAGAATGATAAATAATAAAGACAATGAATGAATAAATGAACAAATGAATAATTACATAAGTAAATAAGCAAACGAAAAAAACATGCCAGGCAAATATAATGAATAAATACACCAATTAGTCAATGAATGAATGAACAATTTAACGAATGTCAGGCAAACATATAACAAAAGAAAGAAAGAAAGAAAGAAAGAAAGAAAGAAAGAAAGGATGAAAAGCCTAGACAGATGTGCCCTCTCTGCACTGAAGCAAATTGAAGGTTGTTTGAAATCCCACAAACCTTTGCTTCTAAGTCTAATGAATGATGTGGAAAGCGTGAGCAGTCTCTCTAACCATTCCAGGACATCAGTGTTGTTATCTGTCTAGAATAAGCACTTGTTTATTGCCTCAGTGGCTCTGTCCGTAGATTACATCACTAATCGTTTACGCTCTCGCTGTCTTCCTCTTTTATTCATTCCTCTAGTCTCAATTTCTCCCTGCCCTCCAATGCTTTCCTAGGCTGTTCATCCGTAAAACAACCCACACTTAGAGAACATCTTGGGCTCACCTAATCTCCATGTATTACCTACTCACTCTTTACTGCACTCTTCTTTTCTCTCGAGAGTTTCTAATGGATGATATCCGTTTATCTGTTGGAACAAATCAGGTGTTTGAGTTGTGGAAATTCAGGGACTCTTGCTTTAAATTCTTGATGAGGTTTAGAGGGAAACTCAAATCTGTGGTGGTCTGTTGTTGTTGAGTTGTTATATAGTTTGCTTTTTGTCGCCATGCATTAAATGTATTCAATTTTTCTGTCAACCCTTCAAAAACCGGTTCTGTTTTTCAAAGATTTACATTTCAAGGTCCACTTTTAGTGACCCACTTAATCACAATTAATGAATTTATATCTCAATACCCTTAAAAAATGAAAGCAGTTTTTGTATTGATTATTATTATTATATATTGTTGTCTATTAAAGTCTTATTTTTAAATATGCAAATAAGGAGTTATTTAATAAAATAATTGAAAAAATTTATACGTTTCTAGCACAACAATTTTAATACTTGATGAATTTAAAATCTAAATTGTTTTTTTACACATTAAAGTGAAAGGTTTTAACAGAAAATATTTTTTGAATATTTTATTTCTTTTAGTGACTCAGCAAATACTGAGAACAGCAAACAACAAAAATAATAATAATCTTTTATTTATTTATTTATTTATTTATTTATTTCAAGAAACTATAATACAACTTAGAATACAGTAAAAGAGAACAGTTATTTTACACAATATTCACATTAGAGACACAGGAGAGCAACGCCAAAAAAGTGCATTAAAATATATAGAATTAAAAGAAATAATGTAATAAGAAAAGATTAAAAAAATTCAAGTAGCATAAAAGATCTGATCATATTTACTCAAAAAGCATTATCAATTAATCTAAGTAATTTAATTAAATGTTCTATTTCACATAACAAGTCTATAAAAATTAGAATTTTGTAAGGAACCTCTGTTTGTGAAAGTAAAAGTATAAGAACATTCACAGCGGCTTCTAGTGACTTGTTTTGGTTTTCAAAGTAACAAATAACATCCTAAAGGTGCAAAATAACACTCATAACAGCCTTGGAAAAGCAATATGAACTTAATCAATCCAAAACGATGATACATCGCATAAAAAAACAGGTGACAAATGTCTTTACACTCATTCTTACAAAAGCTGCAAATATCAGTAACAATACAATATTTGTAAAAAAAAGTACATTACATTTAAAGTGCACTTATTTTATTTTATTATATAGGAATACAAAGTTTAAATGGTAATAACCATGTTTTCCTCCATTGAATGTTAACAATTAAATTAACATTATAGATTTATAGAACAATTATAGAACCCCCAAAATAACTTTCCTCTATTGAGTTTTGTGACTGGGACAATTGACATATGAATTTATTATTGATTTTTATTTTTTTTTTTTACTAAGAATTGATTTTCCTCCTACGCATAACTGTGACAATTGTTTGGAACCTGTCTCAAAACTAAGAGCTGCTTTCATCAGTAATCCACCCTAGCCTTTATAATAAACTTTAATAATAATTATTGTATTTGGTAGAATACAATATTTTATGTAAGTATATAAGAACTATCCCTCTTAAAAAAACATTTAGAATGTAGATTTGAATAAAAATCTAAAAGTGTAATAACCAGAATAAAAATCTAAAAGTGTTTTTGTGACAAATGTTTGACCAATCTGCAAAAATAAGTATAGTAATTGAAATCTACTGACACAAATTAATGAGATAAGACTAAAAAGGATTTAAATGTGATTTAAAAATATATATTCTTTGCATTAAAAAGAAAAATTGACACATTTTAAATAGCAAAAAGCCCCAAATCTGTTTTAATTAGTTCTAATTAGCAGGTGCATGAAATAGGTCCTTACAGGGGGCTCATTACTGCTTATTGCGCAACCGAGACCTTCCAGTCCTCCCTCAGTTCAGAACACTGTTGTGATTACAGCAGGTCAGCAGAGAGGCTGCTTAACTACTGTGACTAATATGCCTTCCACATCCACATCTGAAGCTGACTTATTATGTGAGAAGAGATGTCTCCTATTTTTAGGGTGTTGCTTTGCTAACTTCACAGCTCACAGGAACGCTCTGTGTAATTGATTGTTTGATGTGTGACTGTGTGCAGTGAAAAGCCCCCCGGTGATTACGGCCCAGCCGAAATCTGTCACCACCTTTTCGGCTGATGACATCACGCTCACCTGTGATGCCACTGGGAATCCCCCTCCCACGTTAGTATTCATAACAGCACAGTTACACCAGTTATTTGTATTTTGAACTGTATTCTTGTATGATCCACTGTTACAGCACACTATAATAGTAACCAGTATCTAGATACACTAAACATAATGCATTATATTACATCATTTACATCTATTGTTGTGTTTTCTGTTGAAGACTGTTAGCTACAAGGTGTATATGCTATGAAAGAGTATGTGTGACTTATAAATGTAATGAATATTTTCGTTATAGAAGCACTAAATCAAAATGGTTCACTTTGTAAATGTAGTTGCCTGCAAAACCTATTTAAAATGATTTATTATTTCACTGATTTAATAAATCTGAATTTTCAGCATCATTACTCCAGTCATCAGGTTAATCTCAACATTCAGAAATCATTTTAACAAGTCGTGTAGCTGCTAAAGATACTTTACTTATTTATACACACAATATCTTTATGAAAACTGTGCGGTCTAAAAATTGCTGGGTTGTCTGTATTTTCAGTAGTCTTTTGAAGTCAAAATTATTCGCCCTCCTGTGAATTTTTGTTTCTATTTCAATTATTTCTCAAGTGATGTTTAACAGAGCAAGGAATTTTTCACAGTATGTCAAATAATATTTTTTTTTCTGTAGAAAGTCTTATTTGTTTTATTTCAGCTAGAATAAAAGAAGTTTTTACTTTTAAATTTATTTGAATGTTAATATTATAAGCTTGCTTAAGCAATATAACAACTAGTAAAGTATTAAGTACTGTCATCATACAAAGACAAAAGCAAATGGCTCTTAGAAATTAGTGATTAAAAATATTATGTTCAAAATATGTGTAAATTTCTCTCAGTTAAATGGAATTTGAAGGGTTCTTGTTACAAATCCTTGTTGAGGTTTAAAGGCAAACCCAAGTCTTTTTAAATGCAGTTTGTTTTTGTTGCCATGCATTACATTTATTACAAATTTACTTTTCAAAAACTGGTTCTGTTTCAAAGATTTACACATCAAGATCCTGTTTTAGTGGTTTCTTTAATCACAATTAATGAATGAATCTCGATACCCTGAAAAAAATTAAAGTTATTATGTTTAATATTAATGCTATATAATGTTGTCCATTAAAGTGCTATTTTTAAATATGCAAATGAGGAATTATTTAATAAAATTTGTGAAAAGTTTTATACATTTCTAGCACAAAAAAATTACATTGATTAATTCAAAATGAAAATTGTTTTTTAATGCATCAAAGTGAAAAGTTTTTACAGAAAATATATAATAATAATAATGGCTAATAATAATAATAATAATAATAATAATAATAATGATAATAATTGGTTAAATAAATTATTTTATGTAATTACATATAAACTAATCCCTCTTTAATAACCTTTAGAATGTAGTTTATAAAAGAATGAAGAAATTTTGTGCATTTATTTTGACAAATGTTTGACCAATCTGCAAAACTAAGCATAGTAATTGAAATCTACTTACACAGATTAATAAGATATGACTAAAAAAGGATTTAAATGTGATTTTAAAAATATTTTCTTTGTATTAAAATGAAAAATGGACACATTTTGAAATATAATATTTTCCCCAAATATTTTTTTAATTAGTTCAAATTAACAGGTTCATGAAATAGGTCCTTACAAGAGGTCCTCTTAGCACCCTTAAGACTTTTCCTCTTGATTGACTACAGAACAAACTGCTGTTGTCCTATGACTTGACTAATAAACCTTACTTGCCTAATTACCCTATTGAAGGCTTTAAATTCCACTTTAAACTGGATGCTAGTATCTTGCAAAATGACTAGTAAAGTATTTAGTACTGTCATCATGGCAAAGACAAAAGCAATTGGCTATTAGACATTAGTGAATCAAATGATTATGTTTAAAATATGTGTAGAAACAAATTCTCTGTGTTAAAGAGAAATTGGGTAATAATTTTAAAAAGATTTACAACTTTACCTGCTAATAATTTTGACTTCAACTATATACAGCATATGTAAAGGAGGCAGGGGCGTAGCAACCAGGGGGGTGGGGGGTCGGTTCGAAGGGGATAAGTCCCCCTCACTTTTAGAGACAGACTGTTTAGAAGCAGGTGATTGAGAATGTAAACTTGTGGATTTCATACAGCTGTCCCCCCTCACTTTTTGGCCCATGGAAGCCAGCTAGTGAAGTGCTATGCAGGTAAACCTCACTCCTCTGACCTACTCTCTGAAGGTGCTCTAGCGACAGATGGTAAGAACCATAGTCTTTAGCTTCTTTGTTAGAGAATCGCCGATCCGATCGCAGCTCAGAACGAGATGGGTGCAGTAGGATCAGTGGGTTACAAATGGGGGCTCGTCCGGGATGGGAGTGAGCTTTAGGGGGGTAAGTGTAACAGAGGCCAGCTAGCGAAGTACTATGCAGGTAAACCTCACTCCTCTGACCTCTAAAGATGCTCTAGAAAAAGACGCTAGGGGCCATGGCCTTAAGACTTCTTGTTAGAGCAACTGACTCCCATATAAAGTATCGCCGGTTTGATCCCAGCTCGAAACAGGATTGGTGCAGTAGGACAAATGGGTTACATATAGGTAATTTTATTTAGCATGTAATTGTTGTCTATCATGTACACAATGACTCTGCTTTATTCCTGCGCTGTTACCAGGTTCCGCTGGGTGAAAGATGGTGTGGAGTTTGACCCCTCTAAAGACCCTGACCTCTCTGTATCCCGAGATTCTGGCACTTTTTCACTGACAGCCAAAGATGGACCCATCCACCAGTACCAGGGCAGATACAACTGCTATGCCTCTAACGAGCTCGGCACGGCGGTGTCTAATGAGGCTCGCATCGTCACAGAGAGTAAGTCACTTATTACCGCAGCACACTCACGATTGGCTGTTTGATATCTGTGACTTTACCACATGTGGAGAGTTTTCTGTAGAGAGAATCTGGTGCACAGCAGATAACAACCCCAAATCAGGCCCCCCGTCCCCTGTTGAGTCACAAGCGCAAAAATGTCATTTAGACGAAAATTACAGCTCATTGTGTGTGCCAGTCACGCTTGGCAGTTCGAGGAATTCCTGAACGAATAAAAATCCCAGATCGTTTGCCAATTAGCAATCAAACACCCCAGCAAAAATCAACAACACAACAGTCGCTTGCCTCACTATCTTAGGATCTACCTGTCTACCTTACTGTGTCTCGACCTCTCTGGCAGTTTCCCTGACAACGGTTACCTCAGAAACCGGGTGTGAGTGGTGTAAGTGTGCCAGCGGGGACGGGCACTCCTGGGTTTAATGCGTGCTGGAAGTCAGAGTACTCCGCGGGAGCTGGGCTAACAATAGCACACATATTATGAGCTACACACACACAGCTGGTGTTGGCCATATTAATATGTATGCCACCACACACCTATTGCGTATCAGTTCTAGCCAAGACATGGTGGACTAGATAAGGTTTTTAATCGCGGTTCATTTGTTTTGTCAGCTGTGCAGAGTATAATTACATGCTAGCAATTAACACACTCCAGATTCTCAGGCTGAAATCTATGAAAAAGTCTTGGTGGTGGTGGATGAGAAAATTCCATGTGTAAAGCACTTTGAGTGTCTATAAAGAACGATATAAATGTAAGGAATTATTATTATTATTATTATTATTATTATTATTATTAATATTATTATTATTATTATTTAGTAGGAATTTTGGTCCTCTCATCTTTGCAGAATTGTTTTACCTTTTAAAAAAAAAGCCCTTTTAAGGTCATGCAACAGGATCTCAATTGGATTTAGTTCGGAGCTATGACTTGGCCACTGCAAGCTCATATCTATCTATCTATCTATCTATCTATCTATCTATCTATCTATCTATCTATCTATCTATCTATCTGTCTGTCTGTCTGTCTGTCTGTCTGTCTGTCTGTCTGTCTGTCTGTCTGTCTGTCTGTCTGTCTGTCTGTCTGTCTGTCTGTCTGTCTGTCGTTCTATCGTTCTATCGTTCTATCTATTGTTCTATCAATCATTCTATGCATCCATCCATCTATCCATGTCTGTCTGCCTGTCTGTCTACATGTGTGCGTTTGTGTTTGTCTGTTTATTGCTTTATTTGCCTGTCTTTCTGTCTAGCTAGCTATCTGTGAATTCGAAATTCTAAAGTTTTGAGGAAAAAGTTATTTTAAATGCTCTGGTCCACATTGAAAAATACAATTTCAATCAATTAAGTTGCACTACATTAGTTGAATAAATTATTTAGTAGATTTTTTTTTAAAAACAGAAACTATTATTTTTATTCAGCTAGCATGCATTATAAGAAAAGGTGTCATTTAGATATTTACAATGTTACAAAAAAGTGTTTAATACACAATAATCCTTTTGAATGTGCCAAATCAGCATATTGAAATTATTTCTTGATCTGGCAAGCACCACAGAAACAAATTCAGCTTTGCCATTATAGAAAATAAACACACTTTAATAATTTTATATTCAAATATTTACTATAATAATAAACAATAATATTATTTGTACTGTATTTGTAAGATACTCTGAAACATTTTAAAATATCTTACTGTTCCCAAAGTATTAAATGAATGTGATGTAGATTGAATTGCTTCTCTCTTTCAGACACTCCTACTCTACAGAAGGAAAAGATCATTACAAAGAAGGTGGAGGAAGGAGAGAGTGTGGTGCTTCCCTGTAATCCTCCTAACGGCACTGTAGCTCCGGTCATCCACTGGATGGATAAGAGTTAGTCTATTTTTACTTTCTCCTGCTTTATTATGTTAAACATGAACTGCCTCTCAACATTGTCTATATTTCTGCTGTCTCTCTTTCAGAGCTGCGGCACATTCAGCAAAATGAGCGTGTGATTCAGGGTCGTGACGGGAACCTGTACTTCTCTCATGCAACTGTGGCAGACAGTAGAGATGACTACACCTGCAACATTCAGTTCCCCAGCGCACGCGTCATCAAGCTCAAGGAGCCAATCAAACTCACTGTTTCTTCCTGTAAGCATCTATCTATGTATCTATGTATCTATGTATCTATCTATCTATCTATCTATCTATCTATCTATCTATCTATCTATCTATCTATCTATCTATCTATCTATCTATCTATCTATATATCTGGCTATCTGGCTGTCTGTCTATTATGTTTTCTCACCTACAGTTTTGTGAAAAAGCTTTTATATGTAAAAGTGTTTGCTCTCTATGTCTAATAACTGGTTGGCCCACCACAAAAAACTTACAATGAGTCTGTTACAGCTCTGGAGGAGTTTTAGTCCTCTCATCTTTGCAGAATTGTTTTACCCTCTTTGAAAAACTGCCTTTTTAAAATCATGCCACAGCATCTCAATTGGGTTCAGGTCAAGACTATGACTTGGCCACTCCAAAGTCTTCATTTTGGATTTCATTAGCCATTCAGAAGTGGACTTGCTGGTCTGCTTTATATCATTTTTTTGTGCTGCAGAACGCAAGTTCGCTTCAGCTTGAGGTCACCAACAGGTGGCTGGACATTCTCCTTCAAGATATTTTGGTACACTGGTTTTCGTACATTCATTTATCACATCAAGTCTTCCAGGTCTGAATCAGCAAAACAGCCTCAGACCATCACACTGCCACATTTTACTGTTGGTTTGTTTTTCTTTTTCTAAAACATGCTACTTTTACTCAAAATGGGGGACAAACCTTCCACAAAGTTCAACTTTTGTCTCATCACTGCATCCTTTAATATTGTTAAATTATTATATTGTTGTTGTTGTTTTATCCAGTATTTTGACATTCCTGTTATTCAGCAATGTTTAATATTTACAGTAATTTTACTTTTTAGATAAGATTGCAATGATTATTGTTAATTTCATACCGAGCCTTTAATTATCAATTATAAGGAATTTATAAATTATAAATAGTCCTAACTTTAGATTAGGTCACAAAGCTGTATGAAGTTGAGTTAATAAAGCATTTGTTAACATACAAAGTAACCATTAATACTGTATATGCCTGAAAAATCAGATGTATAAACGTTGATTTCAATAGTTTATTAATCATTTACTAACTCATTCTGAATGATGGTAAAAACCTCCAACTACTCTTAAATACAAATGGTTTGTCAATAATGCAATACTTCATTTAGTAATGAACAATAAATCATTAACAAAGTATGAAAGTACAATTATTAAGCACTTTATAAATGTGATTGTACTGTAAGTCAAGAATACAGCATTTGTAGCTGCAGGTATAAACAGCTTACTGATATTTATTAATGTAGAGTTATTGCTTTACAAATAATGAATTCACTAGATGCTAATGCTTAATAAATGGTCCATAGTGTGTAGTTATTATAAAATGTTACCCATTATTATTCTTCTTCAACAGCCACTTACTGGAGCAGTTATTGTTTATCATGCTCTCTCCTCAGTTCCCTCAGTATCTCTGTTTTTGTATCTGCAGCAAACTCAGTGGTGCGGAACAGAAGGCCACAGATGATGCGTCCCACTGGCTCCAGCAGCTCCTACCTGGTACTCAGCGGACAAAACCTGGAGCTGGAGTGCATCGTTCAGGGCCTGTAGGTCAAACTAACGCCAGACCCAAAGTTGTGCTTATTTTAAAAGTCTCTTATTTGTTTATGTACTATTCTTTTTCTTTAACTAGTCCCTCTCCCAGTATCCAGTGGATCAGGAAAGATGGAGTCCTGTCTGAGTCACGCACTACCAAAGATAGCAATGACAGAGTTCTGCGTTTTCAAAATATCTCAGAGACTGACGGTGGCGAGTACCAGTGTACGGCAACCAATCCACAGGGCATGAGCACTCACACCTACAGAGTCACGGTGGAAGGTAGGGTATTCTTCACACTGTCGGATCACTTCCTCTGCACATTTACATTTAGATACAGGGCGTCAACGCAAAATTAAACTTCAGTAGTTACAGAGTTACGACGTCAGCTGTGCAGTGCATGATTCCTTATTGCTTGATAGAAGCTTATTGGTTACTTTGCTTGGCAGAGACTTTCTGTGATTGGTTGTTTGTGTTTTGTGGTGATCCAGCTGCTCCGTATTGGATTAAAGAACCAAAGAGCCAACTGTACGCCCCAGGAGAGACTGTCAAACTGGAATGTAAGGCTGATGGCATTCCCAAACCTGAGGTCACCTGGAGCATCAATGGCATTCTACTTTCTGGTAACTAACACTTTGTCAATACAATCCATGCAGTAGGGTCTTCTCACACATGGCAGGTTTGGTTCAATTGATTTTATTTATTTGAATAAGTGTGGAGCGGCGCGATGGCGAATATATATATATATATATATATAAAGCATAATATGATCCATTTATACAAATCATAGACATATAGATATGTTTGTGAATTACAGTTTTAGTGTATATTTTGCATACAGATGTTGAATAATTTTTCTCTGTTCACTTGAGATATGAGACATTGATTTACAGTCTTGTATCGACATACTGAGGTGTCATTTTGCTGTCATAGATATTGATCCAGACCCCCGACGCAGCGTGAAACATGGCGTTCTCACTCTGAAGAATGTGGAACTCAGCGACACTGCGGTTTTTCAGTGTAAAGCAGCCAGTAAACATGGATCTGTCCTCATCAATGCCTATGTCTATGTTATAGGTAAAGACATTTAATAAAGTAAATAAATATATATTTTTGTTGTGGTGTTTACTAAAGCATCATTCAGTGATTAAAATATCAAAGACTTGAAACACCCTTGAAACAGTAGTATTCAGCGCCCTCCATTAATATTATCGCCCTTGGTACATTTGTGCAAAGTCTGTGAAAAAAAACTTCTGTGTCGTTGACCCTTTTGATATTTTGCTCAAACTATTAACAAAAAGGCTTTGTGTGTCAATGTTCCAATGTGCCAATATGCACCCTGATGACCTCACAAGGTAGAGAACCTTGTGAGGTCATCAGGGTGCATATTTATTATGGGTAGTACAACGTATTGCCATTAGAGTCAGCAGCATGACACGCAAGTAAGTAAAAGTCCGTAGTAAATGCACACCTTGATCTGATGCGGAAGACAACCAAACATTTTGATGTCCTGTACAGCACCCAAAAGTGTTCTTGAAGCTTTGTATGAGCCACTGAAGTCACATGGGATGTTTTAAAAGTATTTTAGGTTCTTATTCTGGAGTGTAAAATCCGATGATTGCTGTCTATAGAGAATGAGAGAGCTCTCTGATTTCATCTAAAATATCTGAACTTGTGTCCCGAAGATGAAGACCTCAGGGGATTGGAATGACATGAGGGTGTGTAATTAAAAATATATATTTTATTTGTTGGTAAACCGGTAAACTAACCCTTTAAATACACCTGGGTGACAAAAAAAAGGAAATTGTTTAACTAGTGTTGGGCAGTAGCCTACTAGCTTAACTACATTTCTCGGTAGCGTGGTGGTAGCATCACGACTTTCTTAACCAAATAGCTTTTCAGCAGCAAAACTATTATTTTAAGCAAGTAGCGCTGTAGCGTCCACACAAGTTACATTTGCTGATCGTGACCTCTAGAAGTTAAAACGCAATAACGTTAATTCTGATGCTGTGCTCTAAAAATACTTGATTAATTCATAGTAAGTACTATAGTAAGTGTGTGTGCGTGTGCGTGTGCGTGCGCGTGCGCGTGCGTGTGTGTGTGTATGTTTACTGTAGTGGAAAACTGTTAATTTTTACCGGTACCATTAATTACTATTAGTTTATGATAGTTACTAATGATACTACAGTGTGTAGTGTTATTCATTAATGAAGAGTTGTGAATATATATACAATATAATGCTCATAATATAATGCTTTTATAATGCTTTTAAATGTGTAACACTTGGTTTTATTGTTTTGTTTTTGCTGTTATATACTATAATGTTTCTGTTTATTTCAACATATTATTTGCAGTAAATAATTAAACTGAACAATTATGCTTCACATGTTTTATTGACAGTTTTATTGAGCACTAAGACATGATTGACTTGGATTTAAGTTGCTCCGATTTAAAAATGAAACGTAAAAAAAATAGCTTAGATGTAGCTAAGCTACTTTTGCCATGTAGCTTTTAGCTTAGCTTGCTACATTTCCCAGAGGGTAGCTTTTAGTGTGGTTATGCTACATTTCAAGTAGAGTAGCTAATAGTTTAGCTCCCTACATTTCTCTAGTAGCTTGCCCAACACTGTTTAAACATGATCTACTATTTCATATGCATGCAGTAGAAACACATAAGTTATCATACCTGTCAACTCTCCCGCTTTTCCTGGGATTCTCCCGTATTTTACAGTTCTATCCCTCTATTATCCCGTAAAAGTATTTTCTCGTATTTCTCCTGTATTTTCAGTCTTTCTCTAAAGGGTGGCAAATAAACATTAAAGAGTCGAGCCTCCCATATGCAACCCATACCGCCGAATCACCAGGGGCCGCCCCTTGCTCTTAAATGCGAGTCTCTACTCTGCTAAAAGTGATAAATAGACAGTTTCCCAAACGATATTCGTGATTTGAAGCGAAGCAAAAGTCTGAGTTTTGGGTGCGTTTAAACAGATATACACATAATTAATAATAATAATGATATCTAAAGATGTTGATCTTGGTGTTTTTTTTTTAAACACAAATAATTTCATCCTAAATGAGCATAAACAGTTAGGAAAGCAGTCAAATGCTTTCATTATAACGTTAGATGTGTGCGTTTTTAAAGTGACACCTGTTATTTAATGTAATAAAAAAAAATCTAAATAAATCATTCATTCATTGCTCTTTAATCAGAATGTGTATGGTATACAGTGAAGAAACGGCTATTGAGATTTGATAACTTATTTCTATTTCTTTATAGTAGCTATTAATTTTCATAAGCTGAACTAATTGTTGTTAATGTATACTATTTATTTTTTATTTTGTAAATAATAATAAAACCTAATACTGAACATTTAATGGTTTATTTACAACGAAACGGCTCCAAATGAGCATATTTTGACAATGTTGACAGGTAGGCATAAGCCATATTTTCATTATCAGGACAAAACTTAAGAAATGTCTGTAAACAGAAGTCCTAGAGTATTTGTGTCTGTCTTGTCACAAAACACTGTAAAGGGGACAGTTCAACTGTACAAAAAAGTCACCAAGATCACAACAGATATTTTCAAAGGTTTTCAACAACAACAACAACAAAACTCAAGCAATTTGTTTTTCTTCACATTCATTTTTTGCTCATCTTCACCAATGGTGCCAATAATAGTGAAGGACACTGCACCTGCAACCACCCAGAACATAACTGCATTGCAGCACAGTGTTAAAAAATGTATGTGGAGAATGCTGAAAGTCAATATCGGTGTTTTTTATTCTGCTTCTCTAGAGCTGCCTCCTCAGATTCTGACAGAAGACGGCCTCATGTACTCCGTGGCAGAGGGACAGACCACTGAATTGGCTTGCGAGACCTTTGGATCTCCTCGGCCCAATGTCACATGGTGAGACAGACTGGATCCTGTAGGGAGTCCTTTCCTCACATGCCAGAACTGCTTCAGCCAGCTGTCCTGATTATTGCTGGAGGGAAGCTGCTTTGTGGGAAGTCCATTAGGGCACATGGGCAAAATCACACTCTATAGTCAGCATTTCTAAATATTGGTGTTGTTGAAATGCTGCGTCCATGTGAAGAGGGTAAAATGATTATTTTGTGTGTTCACAGGGAGGGAGAGTCCTGGGGCGCTCTTGTAGCCAATCAGAGGATGATTCAGTTATCTGACGGTTCTCTACAGATCAGTAACGCCTCGCTCAATGACAGTGGCCAGTACACCTGCACTGTCAACAACAGTAAAATCACCATCACCGCTGAGCTTGATGTACTCAGTGCGTATTTTATTTTTCAAGTATTTATTTATAATATTTTCATGCAGCCAACAAACTTATGCCTAGTTTTCCATCAAAATGTTTTTTTAACACCGCATTATATTTAGCATATTTTCATTATTAGTGGAGTTTACCTTTAAGCAAATCCACTATTATTATTCTCCATACTTATTATTCTTAATTTCGGACAAAATATTTGGTTCGTAACTAGTCTTGCAGTTTTTGCCCCAGACCCTTAAAGTGGCGTCAAATCATGCTGTTTTATCTGGAATGGTGTGCTATGACTTTTATAAGGGGATGTGGTTTTTTGGCCCTGTCTTAACAACGAGCTGAAAATTGATGCAATGGAGCGCCAAGTGTGAATTTAGTAGAAATATGGGATTTGGAGAGGTTAGCAGCCTTAGTAAAAACATACCCGGCAATGGGGTAAATGTTTTACCCCTGGGGTAGTAGGATGTCCCAAAATATTACACTGACTTATCATTGGCCACTGAAATCCATTCATTACATTGACTCCCATTATAAATGTCACACATCAATAACATTAAATAGCAGTGTCATACAGACTTAGGGCTGGACTTATTTGACTCTGGCATCTCATTTTGATAATGAAGCTCTTAAGCCACATCCCAAACCCATTTAAATACTCCTAATAACTGATCCCATAGACTACTATTATAACAGGCCTAGATGCGCCTCTTTGAATAGCAGTGTCACAGTTCACTCTGTAACCACACCCATAACAACAAAACCAAGTACCCTAGCAACCATTTTTCAACAGCTATATCTAAGCATCATAACATCGTAGAGACACATTGCTTGACTCTTTTAACTCATGCTAGCAGTGACTAGCTACATGCTGATAATGATTAGCCAAGTGCTATAACATGCTAGAAATGCTTGCTATGTATTACAATTTGATCAAAATGTATGTGAGGCTTGCCTAGTAACAACCCAGTGTACCGTAGGAACTGCCTAGCAACCATCCAGACTACGCTAGCAAACACCTAGCGACAGCGTAGTAATGTTTTAGCAGCTGCCTTTTGACCACTCATGACACCCTAGCAACGCCTTATCAACCACCTAGCAACCACTCAGACCACCATAGCAACCACTTAGGACACCATATCAATCACCTAGCAAAACCTTAGCAACCGCCTAGTGACCACTCATAACATTCTAGCAACCACCTAGCAACCACTCAGAACACCCGTGCAACCACCTAGCAACCAATTAAAATGCATTGTTTGTACCCCATCTATTTGCCACAGCAAACCCCACTCACATTTTCTTTAGGAAAAGTACAACTCTAGTTATTATTATAATCACCCCATAAAATGTCTTTTTCTAAACAAAATGGGCAGTTATGCTTAAAACAAGAAAAAAATACATGTGTGTATGTGTATATATATATATATATATATATATATATATATATATATATATATATATATATATGTATGTATGTATATATGTATATATGTATGTGTGTGGGTGCATCTATCCATATGTATATACATTCACACGATATTTAGATATGTTTTATGAATAGAAATGTTGCCTCCTAGATAAGACAGTGATTGTGAAGCCTCCTCTGGCTCTGCGAATTCAGCGGGGGAAACCGGCAACCCTCACCTGCGAGTACCAGGTGGACTCCAGACAGGACCTCCCTCAAGTCCAGTGGAGGAAGAACACGCAGAAGCTTACAGAGTCCTCGGATTCAGACAAGTGCGCTTCTTTCACAGAACACTTCAACTAGGCTTAATATGAGCTGTATAATGTGATCTCATGAACATTATTATTAACCACAAATGAATGTATCTCAGGTACATGATAGATGAATCCACCCTCATAATACCTGAGGTGGAAGAAGAGGATGAAGGGACTTATACATGTGAAGTCATTACCACACTGGATATGGCTAAAGCTAGTGGCTCCATCACTATCGTCGGTAGGTAACTGACATATTCTGCCTGTTTTCTATAATAAAGCATCTCTGTATAGATCTATATACAGTAGCTCTCTCTGTGTTGCATTGTGGTGTTGTAATGTGACCTAGAGAAAGGACAAAAGGACATGTGTTGCTGTAGGGAGATTGAAGAAATAACCTTTAAAATCACACATGACTTGTTTTTACTAGCCTCTCACCCCCTTGTCCTCTTTGTCAACCAGACCGACCAGACCCTCCGAGCCTAATACAGATGACCGAACCCAAAGAACGCAGAGTCACTCTCAGCTGGACACCAGGAGCGGATCACAACAGCCCTGTGCTAGGTGCAGTATTATGTTCTTTTTGTGTTAATGCAACAGTTTAACTGTTCGCAGTCGATATTTGATGCATGTTCATTATTTGAACTGCCTATTGATTTTTTTCTCACTCTCTAAATGTCACATGTTGAATTTGTGATGGTTCTCTGTAAAAAAAAAATGCTGGGTTCCACACAATCCCTTTATGTTGTCCCAACGCAAATCGATTGAGTTAACTCAAGGGTTTTTACTAATTTAAGTTGATTAAACATAAAACAATTAAGTTGTCCCCCCAAAAACCCTCAATAATTGTGTTGTTTGAGTTAATTTTAAAGATGTTTGAACAAGAAGCAAATTTTTTTTGAGTGTAGAGCAAAGTGTGAAGATACAGTTTGGTTGCCGAAAAAATAAATAAATTGGGCACGTTTGTTAATGTGTCTCTTAAAGGTACAGTATGTAATTTTCTCAGCTAGAGAGCACATATTCTCAACAAACAAGTGTGGAATAATGGGAGTTGCGGTCGTCATTACAGCCTCCTGCAGGAATCTTGTTCATGGATGAGCTAAAGTTTTCAAAACTTATTATCATAGTAGTATAAGCAGAGTAAGGCTGTTAAAACTAATTGAGACCGCTGAAGCAATTCCGCAAAAGCAGCAACGCTTTTATTATGCCACAGTCTACCGCTTCCAGTTCTTCCAGTCGTGATCACATGGGAAAAATCACTGCTGTTTAATATACTAAGTGGAGTTTATTTAAAAACTAATTTCGAGAGGATCATGTGCTTATGATTGCTTGCGGCTGGTCCCGCATTATCCAATTTATAATGGCCAATAATAAAACCTAATACTGAACCTTTAACTGTTTATTTACAACGAAACGGCTCCTAATGAGCATATTTAGTAATTTTGGGATTTTTTAAAGGGGTCGGGGGAATCCCTTAATATAGTGGGCATAGCCCTTATTTTCACATCCTAATGTTGACAGGTATGCATAAGCCATATTTTCATTATCAGGACAATACTTAAGAAATGTCTGTAAACAGAAGTACTAGAGTATTTGTGTCTGTCTTGTCACAAAACACTGTAAAGGGGACAGTTCAACTGTACAAAAAAGTCACCAAGATCACCACAGATAGTTTCAAAGGTTTTCAACAACAACAACAACAACAAAACTCAAGCAATTTGTTTTTCTTCACCAATGTTGCCAATAATAGTGAAGGACACTGCACCTGCAACCACCCAGAACATAACTGCATTGCAGCACAGTGTTAAAAAATAATCAATCAGACGATTCCTAAACCACTATAAATTCCTCATTCCATAAGATGGGTGGCACTGTGGCCCAGTGGTTAGCACATCACTGGTTTTAGTCCTTACCAAGCCAGCTGACAATTCTGTGCAATTTTTACACATTCTCCCTGTGCTAATGTGGGTTTCCCAACGGGTTCCCCGGTTTCCTCCCACCATCCAAAAACATGCAACTTAAGTTAATTGACTAATCCAAATCGGCACCATAGACATGCTCCTAGTAAATAGTTATCTCTATCTCTATCTGTTCATTAGCTACTACAGCAGGGGAGTTCTCCAGATTTACCTTAGCCTTAAACTCCCCTCTTACCTTGCAAACGGGAGGGAGCCCAGGGCTCGAGGATCTTATGAGCTCAGGGCTCTCTCCCGGGACAGCATGCCAAACAAGCTTTATAGTCAATCATCAGCTAAGGGTGAACTCTTGAAATATATTTTAGGTTCTGTTATAATGCTGCTCTGTGCCATCTAGATTATACAACATATTAACCCGTCTTCGGTGTTTCTCTATTTTCCATAAAACTAAACCAGAAATCGAGGGTGTGTGACATCATTAGCCTGACCACACAAAATAAGGTCCATGTCACTAGTTAAAATTGCTTATTTCTCTAAATTTGAATATTCTTTGAAACATTTGGGATAATGCAAGTACATAAATCATCTAAATATAAACACTGTTATAGTATTTTTTTTTTTTGGATATTTTAATGAAAAAAATCTTACATATTGTGCCTTTATGTAGACACTTTAAAAATGTATAAAAAGTTGGGAATGTCTTGTTTATATTTTATTTTCATTCCAAGCTGCTCATAAATGGCTTTGAAAAGTGATTAATAGCAAATTATTTTTAAACATTTTTATATAATTATTAGCTTTCTATCAGTTCATGAACCACAGTTAAAAAAAATATTTATTCCATGGCATACATGCAATTTTGCATCAGCCCAAACTTAGGTAGCAAACCCAACTTTTGGGTTAAAATTTGAATAAAAAAAAATTTGTTGTGTTTGTTCATGTTAATTTATATTTGAGTTGAAATAACCCTGCACTTTTACAGTATACATTTAGTGCCCAAATACATTTTGGTGTCGAGACTATAAAAAATGCGTGACGTTTCCTTCTGTTTTGTGTGTCTTCCTTCGTGTTTATTTTCTCTAGAATATTTGATTGAGTTTGAGGAGACGGGATCTGACAGAAAGGAATGGGAAGAGCTCAGCCGTGTGTCCGGCAGCAGTCAGCGAGCTACTCTTCCCCTAAAGCCCTTCATTTCTTACCGTTTCCGAGTCATTGCCATTAATGAAATCGGCAAGAGTGACCCCAGCATGGTTACAGAGGCCTATTCCACACCAGCTGCTCGTAAGTAACTCTAAAAAAGCAAGAAAGCGAAGCAAGAAAAAAGAAAGGGCTTGTACTGCTACTTTTGAATGCATTTGTTTTGTCTCTTCAATCGCTGTATGACACTTAGGATTTGTGTTTGTATCTTCTCTCAGTGTGTGGCTGACATGAAGTGACAGTTTTATTGCCATGTTAGAACGTCTTTGAACTAAATTATGATTTGTCCTCTACAGCTCCAGACAGCAACCCTGAAGGAGTGCGCAGTGATTCCGACGAGCCAGGCACCCTTGTCATCACGTGGAAGGTGTGAGCGCTATTCAGCATTTAGAGAAACCAGAAGTGATTCTGTCATCATGTATTCACCCTCATATTTTCTCATGTTTTTCTATGCCTGCATGTTTTTTTTTTTGTTTGTTTGTTTGTTTGTTTGTTTCCATTGAACATAAAATAATATGTGAACTGGAGCAGAACTTGGACTACAGCACAGGAGCTGAATTTGTCAGACTTTAGAAGTAACTAAAAAGTTACATAAACTTTGCACATAAAGTACATGTGAAGGTTATCTCATGTAATATGTTAGAAAAGTCTGATCGATTTACTTAACACTTAATCCAAAAATGACCCCCCTGACAAAAAGTCTTGTTAATCCCAAAGCAACAAATAATAACTTGACTTCTAGTTGATCTTTTGGAAAAGTGGCAGAGGGTAGATTTTTCAGATCAATCATCTGTTGAACTGCATCCCAATCATCACAAATACTGCCGAAGACCTATTGGAACCCATATGGACCCAAGATTCTCACAGAAATCAGTCAAGTTTGGTAAAGGAAACATCATGGTTTGGGCTTACATTCAGTATGGGGGGCGTGCAAGAGATCAGCAGAGTGAATAGCAACATTAACAGCCTGAGGTATCAAGACATTTGCGCTGCCCATTACATTACAAACCACAGGAGAGGGAAAATTCTTCAGCAGGATAGCATTTCTCATACTTCAGCCTCCACATAAAAGTTCCTGAAAGCAAAGAAGGTCAAGGAACTCCAGAATTGGCCACCCCAGTCAGCAAACATGAACACAATTGAGCATGTCTGGGATAAGATGAAGGAAGAGGCATTAAAGATGAATCCAAAGAATCTTGATGAACTCTGGGAGTCCTGCAAGAACGCTTTGTGAAAGTTATTTGAGTGATTGCAGAGATGTATGTATGCAGTCTTCCAAGCTCATGGGAGTAATACACAATATTAATTCTGTTTCCACTGCACCATGACTTTATATTTTATACTGTACATTATTTCTGTTAAGTGACAAGACTGGCATGTAGTAAGCATGATCATTTTATTTTGGTTTGCCTTTCTTATAAGCCACTTCTGATATCAAATAATCAACTAGAAGTCAAGTTATTATTTGTTATTCCTTAAACTTAGATTAACTTAGGCGACAAGTCATTTGTCAGGTAGTGTATATACATTAAACAATATAAATTCATTGTAGTCAATCAGTTCATGTTAAACAATGCTTAAACAATTGCCTTGAAAAGTCTGATTTATTCTAGTTGATCTCTTTATCCTAAATGGCCATCTCAATTTATGGTTGTAGCTATGGAAAGTCTGATTTATTATAATGAATCAGTTCATACTGAGTGGTCATCTGATGCTCTAATATGTAGTTTTGAAAAATATGAATCATTGAATGAATTTGTTTTGTTCAAGTAGTTGTAAATAAATAAAAACAGTAATATGTTCTGTGAGTAACTGTATTTGTTTGAATCTTGTTTTCAGACAGAAATAATTTTAGCTCATGTCTGATTCTGTGCTCTTGCAGGAGATGGACAGGCGTAGCTTCAATGGCCCAGATTTCCACTATAAAGTGATGTGGAGGAAAGTTTTGGGCAGCGGTCCATCCTGGCACACCAAAGACATCACCTCTCCACCCTTCGTTGTCACAGATGTGGGCAACTTCTCAGCATTTGACATTAAAGTGCAAGCGGTTAATGAGATGGGAGAAGGTCCGGAGCCCAAATCAATTATTGGATACTCTGGGGAGGACTGTAAGTTTACTATGATTGATATATTTGCTGCTTGTGAGCGTTTTTGTTTAGATCATTTCAGTCTCAGTTCACCCCAATTAAGCAGTGATTTTAGTTTGGTGTTAATTCTAATGCTGGCTTCTAAATTATATAAAAAGTCAATGCAAATGCACAGATAGAGGCAAATGATTGCTATGTTGTGTGAATGACGTGTAATATGTGACGTGTTTGCTGTGGAATTGTCCTCAATTACATCTAATGTGCAAAAACAAAACAAAATAAAATTCATCAAGGAAAAAGATTCTGCAAGTAAACCAGAGTGAGTGACAGTGCTTTGCGTCTTGTGTGAACTCAGCATAAAATGTTATGGATGTACTTTTCTCCCTGTCAGACCCTCTTGAGGCTCCTCTGGATGTGGGATTGATTCTGATCAACAGCACTGCTATTAAAGTGACATGGGCGGCCGTGAACAGGGAAACTGTGAGGGGTCGTCTGCAGGGGTACAAGGTAACATACTGTGACTGTAATAACCTTTGTCAAAAATGTGCGATGTAAAGCCTCTTTGACACATTTTATGTCATCCCTCCTGTAGATTTATCTGACGTACTTAGGCCCAAAAGGCCAACACCTCAGACGGGAGCCAAAAACCACATTTGTTGTGACGACAGACAGTAATGAGGAGAAGAAGGTTTTGGGAGATCTGCAACCGTTCTCCCATTACAATCTGGCTGTAAGTGTCTTCAACTATAAAGGAGAAGGACCCCAGTCTGAATCCATCTTATTCTTCACTCCAGAAGGAGGTAAGCACAACAGACAAACAAGTCGAAATAAATAAGAAAGGGCCATGATTTAAATGCTATCATTTGTGCTTTTTAGTTCCGGGTCCTCCATCATCTTTGATGTTGGATAGCCCATCAGAAACAGAAATGACAGTGCACTGGACTCCGCCCAACCAGCCAAATGGAAACCTGATTGGATACATCTTACAGCATCAACAACGTGCGTTCATTCATTCTTCCCAGAAGAATTATGAGTAGTGAACGTTATAAGCAGAACGGATGTAAGCAGATAGTGAAGAGGTGTTCTGACTGAGTTTCATGATTGAATTTGTGATTAGACAATAGTCCATAGATTTACTCTGAAGGAATACTATTTAAATACTTTTTTGGCCAGTAACATACTTGGCAAACTACCCTGAACACCCTAGACATCACCTAGCATTTACCAAAGCAAATCTATCTATAAAACTATTCAAAACACCGAGCAACTGCATACCAACCTATTTTAGCACTCAGAACACCCTAGCAATGTCTTGTTAACCGCCTATAACATCTAAGAAACTGCACAGCAACACAGTCAAACCATTTACAACAAACTAAAACAATGAACTTGTAAACTGTATTAAAATCCCAAACTACTCATCTTAGAGGCAGCATAACAAAACAAAAAGTAACATTTTATACTCTTTTCTTTCCTTCATTTTTCTGCAGTTGATAATGATGCCAGCCTTATGCAGGTGGTCAAGATTAGTGACCCCACTGCTTCCCACTACAAATTAAAACTGGACCCTCACAGCCGTTACCGCTTCTATCTGCGAGGATACACGGCTATCGGAGAAGGACTGCCCATCATCAAGGATGGAGCCACCACACTGGATCCAGGTCCAGCACTTTAATCATCACTCAGTTCTTTTTATTCGAACTGTACATAGATGTTGAGTTTTACATAATGATGAAATGCTTTCACACATTTTAAGGATGTAATAACAGCTAGATGCTATGTGTAATGTCTGTGATTGTTCTATGAACTTCTTATTCATGTCTGGTTTTTCCTGTTTTCTTAATTCTTTGCTTGTTGTCATGGTTACCCATTTTGTTCACCTGCCACTTGTTTTAGTGTCTTTGGGCCCTATCATACACCCGGCGCAGTGTGGCGCAAGGCGTGGCGCAGTAGTCTTTTGGTAGTTTCAGCTTGGCGCAAGAGTCGTTTTGAGGCGTTGCGCTACGCTGTTTATATAGCAAATGCATTAGCGCTCATTTGTGTGCCCATAGGCGTTCTGGTCTAAAAAAGAAGACGTTCTGAGGCGGACCGCTGGCGCGTTGCTATTTTGATAAACTAAAATAGATTTTTCATTAGACCAAAACAAACCCGGTCTAAACTCCGGCGCAGAGTTGCGCCTCGCTTACACATAGCTTAATCTGCACAAGAGAGCAATAGGCAAATAGCTTTACATATGAAAAAATGTAAATATTAAGGATATATATAGGATATAATAAGAATAGATATAGGATATAAATATAAAGGATTAAAATATTACAAAACATACTATTTTCTAGCCTAGATAAATTTGAAAAATCACTGCTTTTATGTTTTCATCTCGGGAGGCTTTTTCAGTTCATTCATAACAATTTGCTTTTGTATAATGTTATTATTATTAGCAGTATTATTTATTATATCCATATTTATATTTGTTTTATTAAAAACAAGCTTAGAATTGCCCACCTGTCAGGTTTTAGACCATAAGGGACACAGCATGTGTTTTAGGATATAACTCAGGTTTTTGAAGACATTTTGTTATTATTATTCATTTATTAGTTTGCTGGAAATTAGAACTGAATTTAGAAATAGTTTTGAAACTAATATTTGCGCTTAACAAACAAAAGTATTTATTTATAGACTAATTGATGTCTGTGGGTGGTTTCCCTATCCAAGAGCGAATGTGAAAGTAGTTCCATTATCTCTCATTCTCACGCAGTAGATGCTCTGTTTAACAGTTTTCTGTTAAAAAACTGTTAACTGTGAACTGTTTGCATGTGAAATGCTCATTTTTTCCACTTAGACTTACTTTGCGTCCTGTAAATAGTGAATGCGCTCTTGGTGCGACGCAGATGACTCTTAAAGGGAATGGGAGATGAGACTCAAATTGGTTTATTCTCAAAACACACCTATAACTCATTAAGAAAATAAACTCAACCCATTTAGACCATGCGCCACGGCGCAAGGCAGATTTCCCATCCTTAAATTAGCAAAAACGCGTACTGACACGCCCTGAAAGCATTTGCGCCCTGCGTTTTGCGCTCTGCGCATGGCCCGTCAAAATAGAGCCCACTTTGTTTAAGCACAGTGTTTGGTTTAGTATCTATCCTTTATTGTATTTACAAAGCTTTTACAAAGCTCCTACATACTGGTTTGCCTTTTGTAGAAGGGTGAGGTTAAATTGGTTCAAAATAACTGCTTCATTTGGTGCCAACAGCTTAATGGGCAGTGTGCCGACATACACTACCTGAAAAAAGTCTTGTCGCCTATCCAAATTTTTGGAACAACTAATAATAACTTGACTTCTAGTTGAATATTTGGTTTCAGAAGTGGCTTATCTGAAAGGGAAAGGGAAAATACGCTTATTTTCTGAAAATAAAATATAATCATGCCTTGATTTTTAATTATTTAATTAGGAAAATAAGGTTTGACTTTGCTTAGACAAAAGTCTTGTCACTTAACAGAAATAATGTACAGTATAGAATATAAAGTCATGGCGCAGTGTAAAAAAAATATTGCCCATGAGCTTGGAAGACTGCATCCATACATCTCTGCAATGTTTTGAACAATGTTAAAGTCTGACTTGTTTTGTTTCTCTGTGAACAGTTCCGCCCTCCGACATTAGCATATCGACTGGAGAGACATCAGTCAACCTGACCTGGGTGTCAAAAGAAAGACAGAGGAACGTGGAATTCTTTATTCATTACCTGAGAAAGGATGGTACGTGACACACAGACAGGATGTGATTGAGAATGACTGAACACAAGCTTGTTCATGAATAACACTATAGAAAAACAGCCGCTTTATTGGCTGTTCTGTTAATATGTGCTTGTGTTTTTTAGAGAGGGAGAATTTGTTTTGATTTTCATTGTATCTGTCCAGGCCCAGACAAATGGGAGAAATCTGAAAAGGTGAACAGCACTCAGTCTTTCTACACACTGCATGGGCTCCAGCCTGGATCCCAGTACCGGCTGAAGATCGACTTTAACAACACTAAATGGGAGCAAGAGATCCAGACTGCAGGAGCTAGTAATTACAAAACAGCCCATTTTTTCTTTTTAGAATCAATTAGACTGTCCTGTTTATGTACAGATCATGAAAGAAGATGCCCACTTAAAGATTAGCTCTTAATGGAGTGCACATTATGCTTTTTATGTAACTTTAATGGTCTTTGAAATAAAAAAATAAAAAGTTTTAATATCTTTGGAGCTCTGAAAAGAGATCAGAAATAGTGTGTATAATGGAATATCACATGATTTGAAGCCTTGACAATTGTGGTCACTACAAAAAGTATTCTCTTTTTCAAAAGAAAGTCATGGTATTACCATTCAAAATTTGGGGTCAGTAGATTTTTTAATAGTTGAGTTATTATTAAAAGTCTCTAAAAGAAATATTTTATGCTCACCAAGGCTGTATTTAATACAATTAATGTGTTTATATACTAGTAATAATAATAATAATAATAATACATTTTATTTATATTGTGCTTTTCTCAAACTCAAAGTGCTAACAAGTGCATCAAAACACAGAAGAACATGAAATACACAAAGGTAAAAAATGAAGAAAAAAAATGTTTAAAAGAAAGCCTAATAAGTTGTAAGCAGTAATAAAAAGATGAGTTTAAGAAGTTTCTTAAAACAGTCCAGGGAACTGGCGTTCCTGATGTTTGTGGGGAGGGCATTCCACAATTTAGGTGCACAATAGGAGAATGCCCTGCCTCCCATGGTGCTAAGTTTGCAACAGGGCTGAAACAAGGTGAGCCCCGAAGCAGAACGTAGATTGCGAGAGGAAGAGGAGGTAGATATCAGGTCACATATATAATCAGGAGCAGAACCATGTACAGCTTTATAAGTTAAAATTAAGGTTTTAAAATTGATGCGTGACTTAATAGGCACCCAGTGTAACTGCTGAAGTACAGGGGTAATGTGAGAGCGAGATGATGTGTGGATTAACACACGTGCGGCTGAGTTTTGAACATATTGTAAGATCTTAAGTGAATTGGCTGGCAGACCCCCAAATAAAGAGTTACAAAAATCTAAACGAGACGTAATGAAAGCATGAACATAGCATATATTTTAATGTAGTTTCTTCCTGTGATTGCAAAATGTCTAGTCTTAAGTGACAGTATTCCTCAAAATCATTCTAATATGCTGATTTTAGGATTGGGTTAATTTATTTAGTGCTTTAGTAATATTATAATCTTATCATATGTTGCTTTTTGAAACATAATTTAGGTAATTAAAATGTCAAAATCATAGCATTTTTCAAGAATTTGAGATTAACATTAAAAGTTATGACAAAAAATTATTGAGTTGTGTTTGAAACAACATCAGAAAGTGTAAATCCTGCCATATTATAAAATAATGCATAATTTTCCCATTGTTTTTAAGGAGTCATGGAGGTGAAAAGTGGGTTTGTAACCGAGAGCTGGTTTATTGGACTCATCAGTGCCCTCGTGCTGTTGCTGTTGGTACTGCTCATCCTGTGTTTCATAAAACGAAGCAAAGGTGGAAAATACTCAGGTAAAATACACCCACTACAGCACACCATTATAATCTATTAACAACCCTTAATAGTGCATTTAATTAGTGACGAAGCCTAAAGTACACTTTGGTTGATATGCGCACAGTGTGTATGACATCACTGGCACACTGTGGAACCTGAGCGGGAACACAAACAACAAACTATTAATGATGACAAAAAAAATCTGCAATGACAGGCATACAGTATAAGGGAAGTGTATATAAACGAAATAGTAGCAACTTTTTATACAAGTCCAAAGACATTATTATCACACATAACCTTTTATGACACTGGATAAGAATAAAACTGTGCATCTTACAGTGCTGAAATATGCAAAACTGAAGTATACTCTAAGCTTTAGTCATCTCTGACTGTACTAACAAATGCAGAAATATCCCTTTATTTTGTTCTTCTTACAGTTAAAGAAAAGGAAGAAGGCCAAATAGATTCTGAAGCTCGGCCAATGAATAATGAAGCTT